GACCTGAAACTGTTTAATAAAGTGAAATTTCTAAACGATTGTTTAAATATTCAAGCAGACATAAATGCAGTGATAAATTGGTGCAATAAAAACAAACTGAAGCTAAACATAGAAAAGTGCAAAGTTGTATCGTACACAAGATCCAACAACCCCACGATTTTTAAATACCAAATAAATGGGCAGGCCGCAGGATAACCAAATAGGTAGTCACCTCGATTGGAGGTTTCAGTAGCAACTTAAATTTTAATCGGTACATCGAATACCTACCTCATAAATGCGTGCTATACAAAGTACTAGGTTTTGTAATTAGGAATACCTACAATTTTACAAGCATTTCCTCAATTATTACCTTATATAACGCGTTCATCAGATCTAAACTCGGTCACGCGGCTTGTGTTAAGACACCTCAAACTTATTTCCACATTTAATTTCTTACTCTAACCAAAGAGTACCTACATGGTTACTCTTTGCTCTATCTAACTAACCAACCAAAAGTTTTAAATAGCGTGTATGTACTGTATTAAAATAATAAGTTTAAAAATCCGACGTGAAGTAGTCTGCGCTACCTTTGTGTACAAGATATTGAATTATCATCTAAATGCCCCAGAATTGCTTCAGGAAATGAAACTTAAAATGCCACCTAGCCGCTAGCGGTACATGGCATGGAATGTACATTGAAACTTGAAACTTTGACATATCCTTGGCGTCGCCGCCTCTCCCAGGAATTATTAATTTTGAGTTTGATAAGCTTAGACACATGAAAGGAAATCCTACAATCACTAGTACAGATAGGGTGTTTTATCTGTACTGCTGGTCGAGTAATTTGCTCGGACGCATCAGTGTACGATGTTCAATTATTGTAAAAGGTGTAACATCCTGTTATTGGTATTGGTTTCCGTACGTAACAACTAGCATTCTAAAGTTTGAAAATTTGTTTACTGGTTATTTTTCGTGGTTAATAATTATTATATGCCAAATCTTCCTACGCCAAGGATTATCTTTAAACCCTTGGTTACAGCGTACGAGGGCGAACCTGTGAACAGTATGTTGCTCCAAAATCGTAAATAGGTATATTTTTTCCCCAAAGTATGGTTGGGGGGGGATGAAGAAGACTCGCGCTGCTGTAAAGACTTTGTGAAATCCAGAATATTCCAACAAATTTTCTTTGGAGAAATGAGAAACTAAACGAAAATTGTCTAAGAAACACAGTTCATGTATAATGTCCTACAGTGAACACACTTCCGTATAAAATTGCTGGTTGTTATCATAATACAAGTACCCATTTGATAATGTACCATTGACTTAGTGTAAGGTCAATGCATTTATCTACACCTTAAACTGTTCTGTACAAGCTCATTGACTGATATTTTTCTTGGCTCGATGCTAAGTATCAAGTCAGAACTCAGCAGCGCATTTGTATCTTGAACAACCTACTTGGAATGTTTCTTAAAAATAGCAAAACTAGAATAAAAATCTCTAGATTTTAATAACAAAAATCGAGAACTTCGACCAATCACTACGAGGTTTGAAATTAATTTATGTAATGTAAAGTTCACTCCAAGGGATTTGTCCCAACGCTTGTATTTGAAATGCAAAATGATCCAAGTCTTTTTTGGATTTCCTAATAAGATTTCCATATTATTACTAGAAGTATAGGTAGTGGAGGTTTAGAAAATTTTCCTTTGCAGTTTGTGCACTAGAAAATTGAAAATACTTTATATTTTAGGCAATATATAGTTGGAAGCACTGGAACTACTACTGTTGAACTGGTTTTACTTTTACAATAGATAGAATTGTTATAAACTGGTGGTTTCGCCCTCTTAATAGTACAGAATAATGTCCATGTGCCAAATCGTTGTGAGTTACTATATTGGAAAAGTTTGGCCCCCATGCAGAATTGTTGATTGAGTACATTCAATTAATTTTGGAAGTGGGAGCCAAACTTTGCTCCCGTAATTTCCGCTTTTATGACGTCATCAAGTTCAAAGCTTTCGGTACACAGGAATAGTGCCGTTCCTCCATAACTAATTGTCTGATTCTTGTCATCTTAGGCTCATTGGAAAGATAATAAAAAAAACGGAACATGTTACACTAGAACACTTAAACGCCATCGTTCTTCAGATAGAAATAGGGTTGCCACATTGACGGCGTTGAATTCAGAGGCACCATCTCTCCGTGAACCAAAATTATGACCGGGTAAAAATATACCACATTCAAAAATTTATTGGGTACCTATCTCGTTTGTAACTTTCAAAATTTTGGCAAAAAAATGGTTGTTTTTTGTTGCTACTTTTGTATTGTTATTGTATTTAATTTTTTGTCATGTCATGTCGTACCTATTAATCCCATTATATTTTTTAATGCACAAATTAACGCAACAGAAAAAATATTTTAATAAAAAAACTGGATGTTAATATGCATCCATCACATTTAACAAAAGCATGTTTTTCTCGAACAAAAACCTACATATTAAACAAAACAAGTTGTAAATCAGCATATGCATGATTAAAGCGTATTTTTGGTAATGCAGGTCAGTATTTTAATAGCAAAGTTTAAAATTATCGATCTCACGAGTAATTTTGGCTGCGTTAAATAATTAATTTTATTTAATTTCAATTGAGGGTACGTCTTCATTTTGTAAAACAAATCACAAAGTAAATAATAAGTTTTTATACTGGTAGCGCCATCTAACGGTAAAATTATAGCACCTCCGAAACCCATATCGAAATTATTTTCTTCAATTATCGATCTCACAAGTAATCTAACTCAAAATAGACTAGTACCTGCACATCTACACTATAGCAGAAAGCTTTTAGTGAACATTTGAATTCTCTAGCTATTGTAGTTGTGGAGATCTCACGCGGACAGCCGGCCTGCCAGCCATAACGAATATAATAGCGTATTTTTTCCAAAAATGCGCTAAAAACTGTCGGCGCGATAGGTTGAATTGGTTCACTATAACGCTGCGGTCGACGTTTGTGGCTATTTCTTTTGGTTCCTGCAGCGTTGTCACCATTTGAGTTTGAGGAAGTGTAAATTTTGAATTTTTATTCAAGACGTTGAGTTGAGTTATTTTTTTCCGGGATTTATATGTAAAAACAGGAATCCGGGACAGTGCACCTAATTCCGGGAAAACCCCGGCCATGCGGCAACCCTAGATAGAAACAAGAAACCGCCGGTAATCATTTATGAAATAAAATATAGCACGTTTAGGAAATAGTCCGTCTCGGATATAATAATTGTAGGTGCTATTTATGTGATCGCCGTGACAATAGTACTATATGAGTATATAGCAAGGGGCTAAAGTGGGTGTGAGGGTGTGAGAGGGTGAGGGTGAGGGTGAGGGTGAGGGTGAGGGTGAGGGTGAGGATGAGGGTGAGGGTGTGTGTGTGTTTTAATCCAAAGGGTTTGTCCTGTGGTATACCGGGTGGTGCCTAGCGCGACGCAGCATAGAGATTTCAATGGTAATTTCTTTATAGTCAATTACTAGCTCGCCTAATTATTTTAGAGCAAAAGTGTAAATACGTTTTCTTTAGAGAAAAAAACATAACATATGGTGCAAGAACCAGTACATTTGAAGGTAACAATTATTTACTAAATTGTGTTTGATATTTTATTGCGTATACTGTCACTTTAATCTCTTCTGGAAAAAAGTGACCCTTTAACCCCTTCAATGGAAGACAAAACGTTGATTTAGTCCACGTATTACAAAAAACAATATTCATGATGCGCGTGGAGACAGCCAGACATGTGTAGGACGGACGATCCTGGAGAAAGACATAATAAAGTTCTTCATTCGTTTCAAAAGGTGGAACTGATCAATAAGATAAAGAAAAAGGCACTTGTAATTTGTATTGAACAAAGATTAGTATACTGCGAATCAGACCAGAGTTGCTCTGAATAAAGGTTGATTCTCACTTAACATAACGTTTCCATACCATATCCTTTCCATAACCATTCCGTAAATTATTATACCTAGGAAATTGACCTTTAAGTGATATGTGCGTAAGACATTTAGCCGCGCGCTAATACACATTCTCCTTTCCGTTCACATATGGAAGACGAATGTGTATTAGCGCGCGACTGAATGTCTTACGCACGTATCACTTAAAGGTCAATTTCGTAGGTATAATAATTTACGGAATGGTTATGGAAAGGATATGGTATGGAAACGTTATGTATAGCTATAGTGAGGATCAGCCTTAATAGTACAGAATGCCAATACGCATCCGGGACGGACTATTTCCTAAACGCACTATATTTTATTTCATATAAATGATTACCGGCGGTTTCTTGTTTCTCTAGGGTTACTGCAATACATATGCATCAATTTCCGAACATTTTCTTGACAGGGTTCATTTTTAAAAACAACTAAAATTAGTATGAAGAGGGTACAAATTCTCTTTTGTGGTGGAAAATCGATTCACCCTTATCACCATCGGACGCAAGCGCATAACTAGACGACAAAATCATACAGGCTGTTTCAAACTTTTAAAAGTTCGAGCATTTTCCACATACCTATCTATTTAAAATAGGACCTATTATTGCAGTTGGTTCTCATTGTTACTACTTATTGTATATGGGACGCAAATAAAGTATTATCCTATTACATTTTGAAAGCATTTTGTTATCTAATCGTTTCTAATCCTTTTAAAATTGCTACACAATGGGAATATAATTGTTTGTAACCCAGGCAACCCACCTTACTTAAAACTAATCTTTTATTGTATCCTTACTAGAGAACAATAAAAATTGTGGGAAGGTTTTTTTCTGTTTGATGTAATTAGCGGAAGATTAGTTCCATTAAACGCGATCATGGGGCGATTAAATTATTGCTGACTGTATTCATCGTTTGACTAAATTATGAAGTGTTATTGAATTAGTGGTACCATTGCATTTTTTAAGGAGCCGAGGTGCATTCATTATTTTGCAATGTGCGCGGAAGCTCGATGTGCCCGTCTCAATCGGTTCGGTGGGGAGCCGGGGCGCTGGGGCGGAGCCCATACCTTACCACTACTAGAAATGCTACATTCGTCGGTTAGCTTCGTAGTTCAGTTAAAAAGCGACGTAGTATTTGTAAACTTGAACAATTTTCGTGTTTTATTGTTTTTTTGTTAGTCTAATTAACAAAATCAGCAGTAATGTCCGACACGGTTAATAAGAACCACCCAAACGCGCGTTTGTGCCACATTCTGAAGTGGGATCATTTTGATGGATACGGATTTAATCTTCACGCAGAAAAAGGTAAATCGGGACAGTACATTGGTAAGGTGGACGATGGATCGCCGGCCGAAGCAGCAGGTCTTCGACAAGGCGACCGCATTTTAGAAGTAAACGGCGAGAGCATCGCAAATAAAAACCATAAACAGGTGGTTGAGGCCATCAAGGGTCTACCCAACGAAACTAAGCTGCTGGTTGTTGATCCAAATGATGAGAAGCAAGACGATAAGCAAAAAACTGTCGATCACAGTCGACCCTGTGACACAGTTTTAATGAAGACCGTCAACCTCAGGCAGGAGGAGCCCGCCGAAAAAATTTTGGAAAAATCCGACTACAGTCCACCACCTGACAAAATTTATGAAAAAGATTTTACTCGAAACGGCCAAGATCAAACACCTGTAATGCTCAACATGACAGCCGCAGAGCTTCGCGCCAAACTTAAGGAGAGGAAAAAATTCGACCCCAAAAAGGACGGGATGGATTTTAAAAAGAAGTACGACATTGTCCAAAAGTTGTAAAAAGTGCAGTGTTCTGTGATAATCTTCTTATCATAAACGATAGGACAGTGAAAACTTGATAAAATAGTATATTCAATATTACCTAAATATAATGTTTGTACTGAGTAACGTGGCCTTGATTATATCACGTTGAAATCGCTTTTATTATTGGGTACACGGTCACATAATAGCCTAATGTTATATAACATTAATCAGTGTAACTAACTCTTAAGTCTATTCTAGCTGTTATTAAAAAGTAGGTAGTTTTTATTTTTTAGAATTAGTTTTTACTTTCTTTGCGATGATTATCGTAGTTTTTAACCCGTTCGTACTGTATTTGTTACATCTGAACAATAAATTTGGTTTCAAATACTGTTTTGCTCAATGGAAGATTTGGAGGTAGACGAGAATTCCAAAAGTATCGAAAGCATCCTTGAGATGTGGGTTAAGGTGAGCAACCTTATACCTATAATTACAAGTGTATAGTATAAACACATTGTCAATTTGATTTTCCGATTATCAGTGCGCGACTATGGATGCGGACGAGTCCCACGTGGCAAACCCTTCGGTGAGGGTAGTTGAGATGGAGAGGCAAAGTTCTCAATCTTGCGGTTTTCATTTAACCCGAAGCAAATGGGACCCATACCCATGGGTAAGCAAAGTGGATGGTGGTACGGCGGCCGACACTGCTGGAATGCAACCCGGCGAATGCGTTTTGGAAGTTAATGGTGAAGATGTAGTTGGAAAACGAATATCCGAAATTGCTGAACGTGTAAGGTCAGGGTCAAGTCAAATATCTTTACTTTTATGGAATTCGGGAGTGGATGCGCGATGTTCATCACAGGTATGATATAATTGAAACCATTAACGTAATTCACATGTGGAATGCTTCGTCGTCAAACTAGTTTCAGCTTATAAAACAGGTTGTTAAATTTGAAATGTTAACAATCACTTCATTTACTTAAACATGTAATAATTTGTTATGAATTCTGAATAGGGACATTCTGTATCTAATTTCCGAAAATTAGTTTGATTACCGGCAATTGTTGAATGGGCTAAAGAGGAATATGTCACGTATTGTTGAATCACCATTTTTAATCACCTCCTGGTAACCTTATCCATCGAAAGTGAAATTTATCAAAAATAACAGTCGACGTGTCTGGTGAGAGAATTTTTGTAGAAATGTTACTAAACCTCATAAAAATCCCCATTATTACAAAGTAAATACCACAGATTCGTCGGTAATAAATTGTTGATTGCGTTGTTTATGGCTACCAAGATTAACTGTGTTACAAGTACCTATGTATATGTAAAATGGGCAGCATTACAATTTTTTGTAAGTAAAATCATCGATACGTGTGCGTTACGGTTATTTTACTACGGTGTCCTTCCATTTCCCTAATCATCAAATTACTTAGAAACGTCATGAATTGAACGTTAATGAGTTTTTCGCCACGTAGTGACCGAGTATAGACAAATTTTCAGATCGCAAGTTCCGGAGTGAAGGTGTTTCTTACCATTAATCATATGTTTCTGGTTTCTTTGATTCCAAAGCAACGCGGCGCGGCGTGACAAATTGTCTGTTTTGGTGAGGGAACAAACGACTCGATTCAGTTCAGTTATAAACATGGCTTCAAGTATTAGTTCGTCTGATGATGAAATACTGCGTGCGTGAAGGTAGCCAGTACACGATAGCCAGTACGCGCCAGTACATCAGTACTCTGTAGTACCGTTTGAGTACTAGCTTAAAACAACAGCAAAAATTTACTACCTATGAAGAACGCCGATATTTTTATGTACCTACTGGCTGGCGGGATTTGGAAGCTAGCCAATATACTGGATATCGATAACCCGCACATTAATATACAACGGTACTATTTAGTACTTCTTGGGTACTGATACTGAATACATACACAATCAGTTTCTTGGTACCTTTAAGAGTTGCCTTGTACTGGTTACTGCCCAAATTCCGCTAGCCAGTACTCCATAAATTGATGACCAGGATATAAACAAACAGTAGTACCTACTATTTAGTACTGCTTAAGGATTGATTAAATCTAAAATCAGTTTTCTGATACCATTAGGATTACACTAGTACTGGCTACCTTCCAAATCTCGATAGCCAGTACAGTGGATATTGATGAACGGGACATAAATAAGCGATAGTACGATTTCGTACTTCCTATGTAGCAAATATATATCCAATCAACTGAGTGGTACTTTTAAGGATTACCTTGTACTGGCCACCGTCCATATGCCGATAGCCAGTACACGGGAGATTAATAACCAGGACATAAGCAAACAGCAGGACCATTTAGTACTGCTCATGACTGATTCAACGTGCGGTTCATTTTTTAGATACTTTTTATATTTTTTATATCCTTGCTCAAATTCCGCCGACAGTTTGGGTCTATCAAATTTCCAAGAAAATGAACCGGTTTCATCGCTGAATTAAATCTGCCTACAAACTAGTCGTTATATTGTTTTAGAACCTAATTTTTGACTATTCAAGCTGCGCTGCCTTAGCATAGATTCCGACGTACAGACAACTCACAAAGGTTCTTACGCAATCCGGGTGGGAATTCCATCGGGTCTCATTAGGAATCTGCGGCATAAAACCGTTCATTTGTTTTAACTATCCGTCTGGTTGAACATTTCGAAAACCCAGGTAGTTTAAAATAATTTGCTGTCATTGTGCACGCAGCAGAAAAATTGTTGGAGTTGACCCTTACTTCAAAATAAGGTGTACAGAATTCAGACTCCAGAAGCATACTATCGATAAACTACACCTTTTTTATATTTATCATTTGACATTGACATATAGGTAAAGGGATTTGGATATCAAAATTTCCTCAGCATGAGATAAGTTTGAGGTTAATTTGTATCGATTTGGTTTTCAATTCGGAGTTTCAAATTAGTCTAGAATGCAACTGTTTACTGAAAGTAAACTACGAGAAAGATTCTTTATACATACAACTTCGTGGAGAACTAGTTACCCGACAGCGTTTTGTCACAAGTATATCAATATTGTAACGCGGTATATGGTGTAGGGTTGTAGTCAAACGATTGGGTTGGCGTAGGCTGGGTCAGTGGTGGTTTTAAACTAACGAACGGTGGCGCGTCGGTAACTGGAACATGAAGGGGAGCGTGAGTATCAGTGACTTTCCCAGACCACGTTCCCTTTGTAAGTGGTTTCCGGTGCTCAATAAATGATTCCATTGCTAGAAAATCCATTCGAATGCTCATCGTCATCTAAGAGGGTTGGGTGAGTACTGGAGAAGTTACCTTTACAGTTTTCACATAATTTGGAACGTTGGTAGCAGGACGTCTGGGGCCTATTGAGGGTGGCAACAAGAACTAAGGGGTCTGCGATCTTCTTTCTGCCCCAGACATCGACACGATTAATTTCATTGGTTAATTTTTGAGCGACTGCTGCCTTACGATTGTTTTGTGGGAAGCATACATTTGGTGGCTTCTGGATCCCTATTAATATGACCATAAGATAAATTAATAGCCTGCGGTTCCATTTCATTTTAACTATACATTAAATTTTTGTCACATTTTATAATGATGAAGATATTATTTTTTAAATACCTTTTAATACGACCGGAATCTTCAAATTCATGCCATCCCACGCGATCTGGAACATCCTATATAATAAATTAGAGCATGGTCCACCTCACCTTCAAAACGGCGCTTCTATTGTGTTTCAGTAAGTGACCAAGGTACCATGGATAAGAATATTTCTTTGCGCTCTTGTGGCGGTTTGGATTGTGGTAAGATGTAAATCGATATGTGCAAATTTTAGGAAATTCCATGTACCTACTTCTTTTCTGTTTAGCGAAACGTGCATGGCTTGTAATTGCAACTCTGACAATATTGTAACAAAGTTGTAAAGCGAATAAAGATACTACAAATCTGTTGAGAAAAAACTTCCGGAATTGCTTCCTGGAAACTGTGGATTCATGCGCTCGAATTATTTATCTTTTAAGAGAAATTCCTGTTTATTATTGCAAGCAGCTCGAATTGTTTCGCTTTTACCTTTCCTTCCAACTATAGGTACTTCCAAATTCCAATATACAAAATGAACAGTGGTGATGTTTGCGCTGTTGGTACTTTGATACGAAATTGCAATATCGCATTAGTGCATACATACATGGATACGTATTATTTAAATTAATTAAAATTTCCATTACTATTTTATTGTAGGAGTATGCTATTATACAGTCTATTAAAAATTTAATCCGTGCAAACATGACAATGCGGCAAATGTAGAGCAATAGTTGGAATTGTCCCACAACTTTAGAAATCATTTATTATAAAAACACAATTGATAGAGATTCCCGCAAACATTTCCGGTTTTTTAATGTATTGAAATGTATTTTGATTTCTATTAATTGTACCTATAGGTTTCGAAAAAAATTGAATAAATAATTTATGGAAGGAGGGGGGACTTCAAGCAGTTCTCGTCATTTGCATGCAAATGGTCTTTCACTCATCAAAATTTTGCATGATTCCACGAACTTTCACCTATCTGCTATTACGTGTGTGTTTCATTAAAACACTCGAGCAAAAGTTTGTATGACTCAGTTTAAAACGTTTCATATGAAGTATGGTTCATTTAGGAGGCCCTTTTTCCCTTTTTATTATTATAACCGAAACCAAAGATTCTAATTTCTAATAAACTGTTATTGTTGTAGTCGATATGCTGTGGATCACTACCCCAAAACCTTCAGAGGTTTTCAACGTGCGTTTCATCAGTACTATCATTTATGGAATGTCCGGTATGTTTGGATACAATTTCGCCGCCCGCTCACCAATGCGAGAATGGTCACTTGGTGTGTTTCAAATGCCGTACGAAAACCGAAAGATGTCCCGTTTGCAGAATACGCCTGACAAGAGTAAGATCGTTGCTGGCTGAACAGGTATTTTGCTTCAATGTCGCTTAAGTGTAACCTCCACTTTCAGATTTACAATGTGATAACCGACGTGTTTTGTCTTAGTGGCGAGACACAAAAAGATCAAAAATTTAAAATGCAGTCTATTTTCAAATTGAGTGGCAAGAGAAAGGATGTTCCTGATATAAAGGTGACTCAAACTCACACAAATAAGTTTTTAGCGCGCCTCATCGGAAAGTCTACTTCCGTGGATAATTTATCTAATGACAACAATCGTTCGGCTTCCTCAGTTACTGAATATCCTTTCGAGGAGCATTTTGTCAATAATTTAAAAGCAAAGTCGCTGTCAACGAGTGAAATTTGTAAATTTTACACCTCATGTACATCTAGAGCGAGTTCGTTTAATAATCTAAGTACTTCTAAGCGCTTAGGGAAGAGGTTTTTAAATGCAGAGAAGGTATCTGGGAGCAGCCCTACATCTCTGCAAGGTTCAGTTGAATCGATGCTTGCTAAAGTTGCAGGTGACGATGTGTTGTACCCATGCCCTTATACAGATAATTGCACAGCACTAATTAAAGGTTAGTAGAGTTTTTATTTTTGTACACTTTAAACTTTGACCAATTGACGTCCTTGTCCTTGGATGAATACCGTGTGGACACTAACCCACTGATGTTCTCATTTCATACACACTCAGAAATCTATATTTTCCTAGCATCACTGCAAGCGGTACCTAGTCATTTTTGCAAAAGTAATGTTCTCCGAAATCTATTTTAAGCAATAATGTGGGGAGTCTAATCGTATTATGATCTTCATTCCACTTCAGATTACATTTCACCTATAACTGAATGATTCATAAAATCTATAAAGATTACCATTTGGAAATTTTGCCTTGAAGGTCTTACTGACTTGGTAAGCTCGCCTGCAAGCAACCTAGAAATATTTCAACTTTCATGGTATGCAAGTAATTATTATAGTTATTATTAGTTCTCGCGTAAACAAGAAACTTGTAACTACCTATTTATCGATACCTATTTAAAAATGTAATTATTATGTAAATACCCACGTCTCTGGGAATTGCGTCAAATTACAGATGAATAATTGTGGAATAAAACAATTTAAACATTAAATATGTTAATTATTGTGTACAATCGCATGCGATTTCTTCGCATATATCTAGTAGATACCTTGGGATCTTGGAATCGCATGATGTCATTTAATATTACGTAATTGGGTCCTTAATATTAATTAAAATCATTCTGAATGTGGTATTGATCAACGTGTAACAACATGGTCGGCGGTGTTAGACTGAACGCTTGCCCAAATCAAAAAGTCACTCAATCGTAATTAACATATGATATTTTGTTTGCATATAACGAATACGGTAATACAAATTTAATATTAGTAGTACAATCTTCTGTTGGCTTTGTATAGGCGATAATGAGTAGAGAATTCTAAAGGTGGGAATAGACCAAGCAAACATTGTTGTGCAACAGTTGAACAACAGGTAGGCAACTGTTGGCTAACTTGTTTCCGTGGGGAGGAAACATTGTCGACAAACTGTTGGTCAACATCGACCAGCCTGCCTTCTCCGGTGTTTGTCCAGTGTTCGTTCAGTCAGGCACCATGCTGTTCAATAACTTCTTTCGAATGGAAAATGTTAAATTGACCCGTATATGCGTCTACACTGAAGACGCAGTGTGCACACTGTAGGGCATCATCTCCTTTGAAGTACCTGCACAACTGTTGCGCAACACGTACTCACTGTGTAAACTTGTGTGTTTTTCAACTGTTGTAATTCTCATTTAAACAATTAGGTACAATTTTCTGATAGATAATTTCGCGAAATCCAACTGCTATAAAAATGATCTGTGTTTAGGCCCACACGATTTGGCTATACAAGTAACGTTTAATGAAATTAGCATGAGAGAACTCGGCACTTGACTTAAGTGATGCAGACAGTGAAAGTGAGATGATTTGTGTTGCAAATTACTAGTGTATGTGAAGACCGCAGGTGTGCTATTTGAAATAAATACCCAACTTGCAGCAATTCAATGGGGATTTAAAAAAAACTTAACTGCGTAAAGTAGTATATGATTTGCATTTTTCGACAGTTGTCGGAATAACACCGTGCTTTAAAAAAATTAATATTTTAAACGTACCTTTATTGTTGCATTATAGTAGGGGACACATTTTCTTAAACATGAAGTTAAAGGAAAGATTGATGTGGTTATTAAGGGTTGATGAGAGACGAATTGTTATGGCAGGTCATTTGATGCTGTTTGAAGTGCAAAATTCGAAAAAAATGTCCTTGTTTCATATTGTTTATTTTGATTCAGCATGACAGCCTTGCATCTATCATGTTTTTTTCTCCGCGGTTACTCGAACTACGTGGCGAATTATAAATAAATAATAGCAGAATACTTTTACTTTCACAGCAAAATTAAGAGGATTATGTTTCCTTTCAAGGGCGCTGACTTATTATCAAAGGAAGTTGGATGATTTACATCTCGAAAGCCTTTTACATTCTTACATAAAAGAAAACATTGAACTACACTTACCACTATTTGATTCAGAATTATAAGCAGCAAGTCAACCGACTCTGTAGCTCAGTGGTAGAGCGTTGGGCTACATCGCCGAAGGTCGGGTGTTCGAACCTGGGCCGAGATAAGAATTTTTCATCTGTGGTACAGAAGGGAATGTCCTTAGATCAGTTTCTGGCGGCTACTCCGAATTAGGTTTTCCTGCAGTTTTCCTAATTCGAAGGTAATTATCCGAGTAGTATACTACTTAAAGACCTTCTGCAGGGACACCTCTAAAAAGCATTATGCGGCTCACTCTGTGATTGGGCGAAAGCCTGTTGAGTTAAAAAAAACCTCTTATATACGCTATCACCCCCTCCTTAAAGTTGTTATCTCGAAGCAATCCATTTAACATAGTTCTTTTTTTCCAAACATAATTTTTTCGAACTATCGGGTTTTTGTGGTGGTACTACTGACCTTCATTGCCCCCTCAATCGGCCTAACGCTAACCCATGTCTAATCTTGAAGATGACTAATTTCTGTCGTATATCCAGATATCTTGATTTCATGAAAATCATTTGCGAATTCTTATTGACGTTCCCAGCGTTAGCCAAACGATTTCTCCATACTATGGACTTTGTGTCGTCTCTTCTATGTTATGTATGATTTCCCAATTGAATAGGGGCTCAACGTGTCATAACGTAAATGTAAAAGCTTTATTTTACTGTACACGAAGATAATTTAATGCTAAAAAAAATGGGTTTCCGAATAGATCTGTAGGAGCAGAATATTAACACTGGCAAAGTAAATTACTTAAGCTAAGACCAAATAATAAGTCACTATCTAGCACATCAGCTCTGAGGTTGCAACCAATAACAAGAGCGTCAGTATTACAACTGATAAAAATTATGGTAAATTGGAAATTCTGCAAAATGATAACTCAATATCTGGTATGCAAATAATCAGAACTACTAAGACACTTTTATACTGATAAATTATAAAGTGCAGTACACCGATACTGATAGTGAAGTAGGTTAGGAGGTATAAGTATCAATGAATGTAATTGTTACATTATGCGATATCAATCACATTTAAAACCGGTTACGGGTGTTTTATGGAGAATCATCCATGTTAGAATTCCGCCTACCAACTGGGTCACAACTCACAATCAGATACGTTTGCATCAAGGGAGATAATATATTCAGTTCAATTCTGTAACTAACAAGTTTGCAATATTACTAACTATAACAAGATTCTTCATACAAAATTCTAGCAATATTATAAACAATCATAACAAATTTGTCATTCTCTAACTACCAACTTGAGTAATATTGCTAATATTCCTATACTTCGTCAAATGGCTACCAACTATAGTGACAACTTAGTAACAGAGTGTGGTCACTGGACCTTAAATTAGACGCATTAGGCCCAGGGACCCGGACCCAAACGAAATATCGGTTCCGGTACTATACTGCGTTTTCCGTTCTTCATAGTACTCTTTCCAATGATTATCCCACTCGTCTAACATCTTGAGAAGGTCGGACTTTGGGGTATAATAACTGGGTTTAACCCCATCTTGCGCTGCCTGTTTCGCTAATCCGTCTACCATTTCATTAGCAATGTATCCCGGAATGGGCCTTGATCCAGAAAAATTTGACAATATGACCTTTTTGAATAATTTTAGACTCCGCTATGATTGCTGTAATTATCGGGTGGGTGTGAAAGTAATGCTTCCTCTGATTGATTCCGGCCAAAACACTCCTGCTGTCTGACATAATAGCAAGGTTCTTAGTTACCTTTGGATCTTAAAGTATTTTAATGCTTCGAGTATTGCTATTGCTTCCGCTGTAAAAATGGATACGATTTCTCCAAGTTTAAATAACTTGGACACCTTGTTTGAAAACTGGTAGAATGCACATCCAACTCCCTTCTTGCTTTTTGAGCCGTCTGTAAAAAAACTAGATGAATTATGGGAAGAATTGAATCTTCAACAGCATACTTGAACTGGTGAAATGCACTTGCTAAGACTTAACAACAGCAACAGCAAAAGGCCATACTATTGAAAACGGCTAACATCGTAAGAAGGTTCCTTAACCAATAACAAGCCACATCTGCATGACGACTTGGTCACGACCCGTCTCATGTACCACAACCACTATGTGTGAAAATAAACAAATAATAATAATAACTAATCACTAACACTAATCGTTACTTGATTTTAATCCGTGCTATTAGTTAACCAGGCTAGTCCTGAGTTCTCACAAAAAACACCGACCATAATAATAATAATAAATGTCTTTATTTGATTAGCAGTTCTACATTTGCAATAAGTACTGCATATATCAATTAGGTGAAAGTTTAGATTTTTTAGGTAAAACCTAATCTGATATTCTACTTTAACTTTAACCTTAATAAGTTTCTGAAAGAAATGCACATTCTAGAATTCTAGATCAACGAAATAAAGTTTGGTCACGATTTTAGTGATTGAATCTATTCATCAATTTTGTAGAGAAAGAAGAAAAGATGTCAAAGCCACTGTGATATTATTTTGGAAAAAATTCGTTCGTTTCTCAATTATTGTTTTTGGTTTTCATAACAACGTTTTAATATAATATAGTATGTTTTAGCCCGTATAAGATGAATACATGGTACGTGGCCGGCCAAATTTAAGTATACAATACTGAAGGAAAATCATAAATTTATTTCAGAGAAATCACTTGAGATGTGCATAGAAAATGACTTGATTGTAGGAAAAAAATTCACTTTCGGAACACTCCCTTCCTTAATATTCGTTTCGCTTCCAAAATTACTCGGGAGCATTCACTTACACAAAATTATCCTCAAGTCAAGTCGGGAATGTCTAACCCTCCGACAATTCGTTTCATATAAATTCAGCTCTAAAAAAATGCTCTTAAAAATCGCTTACAGTAGAATCCGCCACGTAACATACCAAACTTCATTGTAGAAGAGTCGTACTGTAAGATGCGAAAGAATCCGATCTGCACTCTGCATCCGGTAGGAATATGTAGGGTATTGTGTGTTCCTAATGCGCCTGTAATATGCTAAAAAGTACGATGAGAATTGGTATGTTGTGTGGATGGGGAAATGCACTTAACACAGTCAAGAGTTACATATAAATGGCAACTCTATTGCATGCTAAACTTTTTGTGAGGGCGTTTGTTTTAGAAGCGGAGAATATATCCGACACGAGACGAGTTTTCTCAGCCGTAAACATCCACGAGTGCTGGGGAGTTTACCTGCAATGGGTGCTATGGGGGCGAATTGTCTGGCACCAAACATTCAGTGGCGAATCTTTCTTTTCTTTCGTAAGCGAATTCTCCAGGATCCTAAGGGACAGTGATGTTGGAGGCGGATATTGACAGGGAAGCGCCAAGCGGTACTCTTAAATCTACTAGGGCCATCTTCTGGTGACAAATTTACCGTGCCCGAATGTTTCTATAGGGGTTAGTTTTCTATAGAACGAATATAGCTTGTTTGTGAGGGAAATTTAGTGGGCTTTCCAGTGCTAACTTATAAAGTAAAAATAAGTAAACAAAGGCTACAGGTCACATTTATTTTTATTTACGATTTGCTACAGTCGTCTGTCTGTTGGTTTGTTCCTTTGTCTGCCTGTCCCTCTATCTGTCCGTGTGAACGATAATTTTGATTAGAAATGTCCGATCGCTTTTAGATCTCCGTTAGTTATGAACTGAATTGCATGAAATTCAATATGGGCATAGCTTTAGCCATATAATACGCAATGCCAAAAGTTGAGTCGAATCTATTCAAAATTCACAGTGCCCCTTTTCGCATCTCGACGCTTTTTATAAACTGAATTGCAAACTTTTTTATTTATAAAAGTATTTGAATGAAATTTGATACATAGGCACTTGGAATAAATCAAAATCAAACGCCAATTTCAAAATTTGGTTTTGCGCATGCGCAGTGCCAACTTTTTTATTTATGGAAGAATTTAAACGAAATTTGATACATAGGCACTTGGGATAAAGGAAAATCAAACGCCAATTTCAAAATTTGGTTTTGCGCATGCGCAGTGCTAACTTTTTTATTTATGGAAGAATTTAAACGAAATTTGGAACCTAGGCACTTGGAATAGAGGAAAATCTAACGCCAGTTTCAAAATTTAGATTTGCGCATGCGCAGTTCCAACTTTCTTTTTAGAAAAGCATTGAAATGAAATTCTTCTTATAAACTGAAATTGAAGTAGCACGTCAAAAATGGATTGCACATGTGCAACGCTATCTTTCATATTTGTGGCCGGATTTTTACGATTTTAACAGAAGTTGTATCTTACAAATGGGAAATGAATGCAAGTGGAAATGCCCTTTTTGTAAATCGTTTACGATTACTTTTTAACTTGTTTTCTTTTGCGCTCCTTTCCCGCCTCCTTTTTTAACAATCTGTTTTCTTCACGTATCCTTCACACTTTCATTACCTTCTTGATGTTTGGCCGCACTTATTTTATTTTAATTTTAATTCAATTTGTTCATTATTAATTTCCACGCACTACTGCAACAAACGAAAACTGTTTATAGGTACTGTTATTTAAAACTTTTCTTTGGTGTTACTTGTATTGGTAGGTATTCTGTAAATTCACAATTGTTAGTTACCTATAGACACTATTAATATACAGAAAAACAATTAATACAGATCGTAAAGAAAAATCAGAAAAAATTTTTAAAAAAACATTTGTTTAAATTACTTATTAACAGTTGATTTCATCGAAAAAGTACTTATGACAAAATTTATAGCACATATAAAGAGCTTTCATTAAAAAAAGAATAATGAAATCGGATCAATAATTCCAGAGATATAGATTTTATAAAACTCGACATCCGCCATTTTTGATTGACCGCCATTTCTATTAGCAACCGCTTTGAGATGGCAATCATGGTTTTTTGGCATCCTAATAAACCTGTATAACCACTGTAAAAATAAATATTGGTACCTCCAAATTATACCGTCAGGTTGACTGGTCCATGGACTGACTATATAGGAAGTATTTTACGCTGAAATATTAGCAGAATTAGGTCACAAATAAGAAATGTAAATCTGTGCATGCGTAATAATTGTCTTGCGTCTTTTAGCTTGCGAATTCTGTTTAGTTTTTGATGTGTAATTTATTTCTTTAAGAACCCCCTTCCCTTAAAAGTTGGTCATAAATAAGGGAATTGGGTCACGCGCAATCTATCGTTTTCAATTCGCTTTTATAAGAAGCATTTTTGGTTAAAATTTCAATAGAAGAATCGCCAACAACAAATACGAAAGCTACACGCAATTTCAATTTGCTTTTATAGAAAGCAAGCACCTTCGGTTCAAATAGCAGAAAAAACCGTCCATAAATAAGAATGGGTCTGCGCATGCACAATCATAGCATTTAATTCTTTCCCCAAAAATTGTGGTCTGGATTAAGATTTTGGGCTTTTCTGGTCTAAAAAACCTTAAAACATAGCAAGGTTCATGTTGGAGTTTTGGCTAATCAAGGATCAATATACATTTTCGTAAATTAAACAGGTTAAAGGCAAAGAGTCAAAACAAATATTGTTTTCCCAAATTAAGTGATAGCCCAAAATGTTGCTTGTTGCGTTATTTCATTAAACTTTCTCTCAACAATCATAACCCTGATCATAACACATAGACGACGAAAATAATATTGAAATAACTGCCATAAGTATAGCCGATTACGAAGCTACATATGCAAAAATCGTACTACAAAAACAATTGTTTTTAACACTCAGAGGATGTACCTACACAACAAATTTGCTAAAATTTTAATTTGAGGACCGACATGAATTGAAACAGATATTTTTTTAGAATTTTTAAAAACCAGGATTGGAGTTACTTTCATGTTCACCTTCATATAATAAACTTTTTCGAAATCAGAATGTTTTTCATATACTGGGAACAGATTTTGCAGATGCAAATACATGGTCTTTTCCAACAGTACATTTATATATATATAATCAAAATAACCTCTTACCCTAGAGTATGAGGAGTACATTTATGCAAAATAAGCTAAATCACTCATATAAGTGAATTAAATTTATTTACTCTGCTGTTTTTAGGTTCGATTGTTGATCACTTCCGAGATTATCATTCTGGCCCACTCATTCAGTATTTTCAATATAAATTCCAATTATCACTAGGTGAAATTCAAAAACAAGGTAACCATTGCTGCATGATTCACACAGGATGCCAGATTTTTTTCTTGCGAATCTTAACCAATTTTGAATCAGATGTTACAAGGTAAGTAAGTGCATAGATTAAGTTTTCGTTAAACATTTAACGATATAAAATATACATAATTTAGATTACGTAGCGATTTGTTTTGTTTGTTGGTGCGTGTGTGTACCCTGTGTGCTGTATAAGTAACAATTGCAGTCTCACAACAAGTTTATTAATTTACCTATTATTGTTTACTTTTGTGAAAGGCCTGGTTTTGAATATTCCTTGTACTTCTTTTGATTTGTCCTTCCATTTGCTCCACAATTGGTTTAAAATTTTTGTTTTTTAAACTGAATAGGTGTCCCTAAATTAAAAATTATTCAACAAAAAAGCGATGGCATATGCAGCCTATACTAGTAATGTAATAGTAACCTACTTCAACAGTGCATTCAGTTCAAGTTCACTATGTACTTTGAACATTTTTGTCCTTCTTTACTAAAAAGCATCACTACTAAAAGTTTTATGAGCCGCCTATCGTCGATGTCTATACAGTTTATTGAAAAATAGTGGAGAGTATACAAATACAAAAAATTTTGAAATGGGCATCAGTTTTACTTTTATTCGAAGTGTCTACGTATGAAACTTTTTAAATGCTTTCGTAAATAGCATTGCACATTGTCTACATTAGAAATTTCATTGAATACCTTCATAAATAAAACATACAGCACGCGTAAACAGTAATTTTGAAATCGGTATTACTTTTAGTTTCATTCAAGGTGCCTACATTTGATATTTCATTTAACTGCTTTCATAAATAAGAAAGTTGCCATTGCACGTGCGCAAAACCAAATTTTAAAACTGGTGTTAGATGTTCTTGTATTCCAAGTGCCTATGTATTAAATTTCATTTAAATGTGTCAGTAAATAAGAAAGTTGGAATTGCGCATGCGCAAAATAATTTGAAAACGTCGTTAATTTTACTTATATTCGTAGTGTTTACATATACAGTTTCATTTAAATACTTTCATAACAAAAGGTTAGCATTGCACATGCGTTAATCCAAATTTTTGATACTGCGCATGCGTAGCACTAAAAATTATCGGTATGCACGGAATCCTCGGACCAAGCCCTTTCAAACGAGCACTACATCGCCCAAATCGGTTCAGTGGTGTAGAGGGAGTACGTGTGACAGACGGACGACAAAGTGCAGTCAATAGCGATTTTTCACTTTGAGGAAAATACGCTAAAATTAAACCCATAAAGAGCGTTTGAAAAAGCGGCAGAGTACCTCGGTGTGACCTTAAGGAGTCATTGGATTTAACCCATTTTCAATTGGCTTGTTACATGTGGCATATAAGTCTACTGTGCCAAATTTCAACCGAATAGGTTCAAGCGTTTGGCAGGGACAGAGAAGCGTGACCCCACGGGGTCATTGGATTTGACCCATTTTCAACAGGCTTATTTATTTGTGACATGTAGGTCAACTGCGCAAAGTTTGAACCAAATCGGTCCAATTCAAACTTTACATAGTTGACCTATATGCCACATGTAATAAGCTTATTGAAAATGGGTCAAATCCAATGACCCCGTGGGGTCACGCTTCTCTGTCCTTGCCAAACGCTTGAACCTATTCGGTTGAAACTTTGCACAGTAGACATATGCCACATGTAACAAGTCTATTGAAAATGGATCATATTCACTGACCCTGTAGGGTCACGCCTCTCTGCCTCTGGCAAACGCTTGAACCTATTCGGTTCAAACTTCAGATGGTGCACGGTAAGTAGGAAAATAGGGATTTAACATGGGAAATTAGTTTTATGCAATATCCTGCCCTCCTGTACATTTTACAGAAAAAACTGTCGAGTTTAAAGTTGTTCAGAATTCAAAGGTGCAAACTGTTTTTACATGTTTTATTAAGCTTTTGGTATACCCGCAAATTTAAATAGTTACTTACATTATTAGTGCGGGAACAGTTATTTTGCAGATGAGCGCGAAGTTTGGCGGCGCACGAGCGACGCATGTCGCGCGAATCAAGCAAATACTGTTCACGCACGTAGCATGTATTCTATTTTTTGCACGGATTAGTTAAATCGAATTTATATAAATTCAAATCCTTTTCGCGAGATTTTTGCGACATTATAATTCTTTTGAAAAAATCAAGTCCTCTATGCCGATAAAGTAGAACTCTAGAAATTTAAAATGTCAATTTATTGTTCAAAACTTCTGGTTTAAGCTTATTTTTGCCCTTGTACTACAGGGAATGATGTAAAGTGTATTTATATTTTCCTGTTTACTCTTCCATCACACTACTATTAGTTTATGATCCGCACTAAATAAATAATTTCGTTGAATTTTTAGGCACTAGTGCGCGAAAGTAGATAGTCAATTGTAAAGTTGACGTTCCCGACGTTCGCGTTTTATTGCGAAAACGCCTTGGCTGAAACCTCGCCCACTTAAAAATAAACGTCAAAAATAAATAAATAAATAAATAGAACTAAATAAACGAATGGAGGCTTGAAAATTGAAGACAACAATAACTTGACATCGTTTCCTGTGATAGCGATCAGGCCTCTTCAAGGTGTTGCGACAAGAACTCAATCAGATTTGTTTTGTTTTTCTCTAAAGAAAGGAAATTGAAATTCTTCCGAATTTGAGATAATGGAACATCGCGGTTATCTATCACACGACGCACAGCAACCAAAATGCTTGCCAAAACAGAAATAATTGAATACCTTTGTGAAGAAATTTAAACAGGAGCCATTGTACTATGACAAACAATTAATTAAATAAAAGAAGGTTTCCACTTTTACGCACTTTGACGTCAAAAAACTATGAAAACATTATAATCGGTTTTCAGATCGAAAAAATCGTTCGCAAGAGTAAAATTAGGTATCGATATTTCCGGGAATTTGTCGCCATGTTGGATTCTGAGCGTCCGGACGAGATTTTGAGGTGCCAACATCGTTATTCGTGTTCAGCAGGTCCAAATGAGTGATAAACGCCTGTTGTTTGAAACGCCCCTAAAACTTTTTAAACCGCTGTTTTTGTTTATAAAAGTGAACCAGTCTATAATACACAATCCGACTTTCATATTTACCATACCAGATGCTCTAACCATATTGCAGAAAGCAAGACTCATAAAAGCTTTTTTAAATTACCTATAAAACTCTATAACTTCACCGCGCCGCTGCATACCAATGGAGGAGGATAGTCTTTGGCTGCACTGTACGGGGGCATTGTTTAAATTTTAAACAATGATATCGCCGTCATTTGATATCTATCCGAAAACGTTTTTTTCTCCTTATATGAGATTCAATTCTCTATATTTCTTGCCCCTATGTAAATTTTGGAAAATGTTATGGTTTTAAAGATAATAATTTTTTTCTTATAAAAAGCATATTTTTTCGGATAAAGGGTTGATTTTGGGGTGATGCACTCTCCTCAGGGCCGAGGACTTTTAGTATGTTAAAAGGGTCATTCCAAAGTATTAATTTAAAAAAAAATCAGCTTGTTAGGAATTTGTTCCAGGTCTATACCTAATTGTACTAGACTATTTGTCAAAACTCAGGTGTAGCCTGGTTAACTAATCGCACGGATTAAAATCAAGTAACGATTAGTGTTTGTCTGTACGTCGTTCGTCTAGTTCGTCTAAAAAAAAGAAAATAAATAAATAAATAAAAAATAAAATAAAATAGAAACACACACACACACACCCTCTCACACACATTTCCTACAAGTTTAGCAATTTAATTAAGTGGCGTTGTTTATTGTGTAAGTGTTTGTTTGGCTTTGCGTTTGGGTTGAATACGAGTGGGTTGTGATAACGTGGTGTGTTTCTGTGAAGAAGGAGTTTTGTGTTTTTTAACTGTGCTAGGGCGTGTAACTTTATTGGGTGGACCTGTCTTTGTAGTGCATTATTATTATTATTATTATTATTAATGGGAACTATAACAGTAGATTTCATTCTCCATTGCGTCTTAAGCTCGATAGCTATATCGGTGTATTTGCGGTGTTTTTCTGCACGTGTTTTAGTTAAGTTAGTGTTGGGTGTCTATAATACAAATGGATTTTTGTGTTTTATCTATAAGTGTAATGTCTGGTCTATTATTGTGGATAGTTTTGTCTGTGAGTAGTGTCCTGTCCCAATATAATTTGTGTGTGTTGTTTTCAAGTATTATCTGTGGCGTGTATTTGTAGTATGGTGTCTTATCTGTTATGAGATGTTTAAGTGCTAATTTTTGATGTATGATTTTAGCTACCTGATCGTGTCCATGTTTGTATTCTGTTTGTGCAAGTCGCGTGCATGCCGATATTATATGTTGGATTGTTTCTGATGTTTGTGAACAGAGTCGACAAGAATCATTTGTCACTGTTTTGTCTTTATGTATTATTTATTATTATTATTATTATCATACATTCTTGTTGTTTTAGAAAGAAGTCCAATTCAAATGGCGGAGTATTTCTATGGATGTGGACTTTAACAGACTCGGAAGTGGGGAGACAGTTTCAGTTCAGTGTGGAAATTCTTAACTCCGAAGGGGAGAATGTGTTTAGCACAACTACCCTAGTGCATTCCTTGTTAAGGGTGTCATCGTCGGACATAATAGAAAACAGAAGAGGAGTCTTCTTTAATTCACATCTGCTGGAGCAGTGGCGCGTTTCCGTTATTCGCTTTGAAATTCATGAAACGGGATAACGATCGAATATTTACCTACACTTAATTTAGTAAAAAATAATTTTTTTGTATTACTATGTGCAGCGTTGATATACTTCCATTCCACGTTCCCCTTTTGATCTGATGGTTTGAATTCAGCGCTCTAAAAATACGCAATTAACTACCCATTAATTTATAATTTATTTGGACGTGGCGGTTTGCGAATAAGATAATTTTCTTACTAGTTTTAAAGCAATTGTGTGCGAGGAAAATAGCCATACTTTTGGTTACAGCAAGTACTCTCAATATACAAAGTCAGCAACAATATTACACAATTCCTCAATTACATAATGTCATGTTGGAACACTACGTTAACACTTAACCTAAACGAAACAAAACTTGTTACTGACCCAATACAAACTAAAAGAGGAATTTTTCAGGGCGATTCTTTGGCATATGTTGGGCCTTGGAGTAAAATAAGACAGGTGTTCGTGCGATCCGACCCGCGCTGAGGCTAAATTCTCACAGAGAGAGACAGAGTAGACGTCCACGCCGCGGCGACGTGTACGGCGTGTATTTCGTTGAAATAATGGACATACGTAAAAAATATACAGGTTTATTGCACTATAATGACTTATATTCTGACGTATAATTAATGATCAAACGAACTTACCTGAAGTGATGTTCGATCATAATTATACGAGACGTCCAATTCGAAGATATCATACTATGTATATCTCAGGTTCAAAAGAGTTAAGGAAGTCACAATACGGGAGGTAGCCAAATTAATAGGAACACTGGTTTCCGTATGTTCGGCCGTGAAGTACGGTTGGTTGTATACAAAGTCTCTTGAAAGGGATAAGTTTTTGGCGCTGAAAGAAAATAATGGTAACTTCAATCGAATTAAGCAACTTGGCAAAAATTCTATAAATGATCTCACCTGGTGGGAATCAAACCTGAGACACGGGGCTAATACCATTCGCAAAGACACGTTCTCTCTGGAGATATTCACGGACGCCTCCCTATCGGGTTGGGGCGCCTGTTGTGGCTCCGACCGTATTCACGGTTGGTGGACTCAGACGGAACGAGAAGAACACATCAACTCCTCGCAATCTTCCACGGATTAAAGTCTTTTGCTAAGGGTAAAACTAACAATCACACTCAGGACAGACAATACCAATGCGTTGTCTTACATAAATCGTATCATTCAGCGCCTGAAACTGTCCATTCTCTCTAGAAACATATGGCAGTGGTGCGAACGCAGAAATTTGTGGATATTCGCCTCATGTATAAGTTCGGCGGATAACAAACGGACAGACGAGGAATCTCGTTCTCTCCCAGGAGACACGGATTTTTAGCATTATTTACAAATGTAGTCAAAAAATTATGGCCTATAACCTACAGCAAATAAACAAAGAAATCATTATAACCCACAATAAATGCTTAAAACTGTATACCTGCTCTATTCGTTTTATAGCTGTCAGCTTCCGTATCTTATGTTGTTTTCCTTCATAAAATTGTTTAATTCGGAATACTACATAAAAAAATGAACAGCTTTTGCCAAAACACCACTTTTATGCGAATTGCAAAGAAACAACAAATTTAAATGGGCTTGAAAAAGTTTATGTAACGTTTTTTCGTAAGCTGTAACGTTCCATACATTTGCTCTAGTACTTGTTAAATTAAAGTAACACGATAAAAAAGATAAAAGGTCAACGAAGGGGGTATTTAACCTATTCTGAAGTACCCGCCGTGCGGACGATTTACTGCATCTCTCTTCGCACCTCTCACTCTAATTCCGTGAGTTTCGAGCCTCACTAGTCACTACAACCGTGACCACCTGTCTTTATTATACACCATGGTCGCCGCCCAGCGCGATGGCAACAAAAGTAGTGGTGAAACGCCCATGATAGTGCCTACAAGGGATGCATCCCCACGACAGTTGACTAATCAAACGGAACTTACTTTGTGGATATACCTTGTATAAACAAACTCGGATTAATTAGCAAACGATTGGACAGTATGATGAGAAGGAAATCTTTCTCGTACCTTTTCTAAACAGAAAACTGAAGAGAAATGTACGCAAACAAACTATTTATTAATTAGTTACAAACGAAATGCAGTCACAATGTAAAACTAATGATATGAATATGTGCTATGTATTTGAATAAAATTTGAATCTAATTCTTGGCAGATCGGTAAGAGCGGCTCACTGCAAAATTGAGGTTGACATCAGGACGAATCAATAAAAAAGGAACTTAGGTACTTTTATAGTTGTGCCGGCTATGCGGCGAAGACGAACGGCGGTGGTTATATTATCCACGAAGAATCGACGGACGACGAAAGGGTTGTTGATGGTGATGGACGATGAGTACAACGAATTGTTGAGTCCACCAATAACTTGATGCAAGACGAAATTCTTAATGAAAATGGATTGTTGTCGACTTCTTGTTTGCAATCCCCGCAATCGGCGCAATCTACCCTTCTCGATTCCCATTTTTCTCCGCGTATGTTTGTTTCTAAGTAAGTTGGGAAGGGAAAACGGAGGAAAACGAAGTAAAGCGGTAAATAGGAAAAACGAAATGTTAAATTACAACGGGACGCAACATAAACTCCAACTCGTGCTGCGTTGGAGGAGCACATAAGGAGGGCGGCGTATGTCGCTGGCCATATCTGAGGATGTGCAAACCAGGTGATGAGAAACTCTATAAGTCCAGAAGAATGGGGATGGACTCTTGAACCCAAAGGCTAGATGTTTCTGTGATCCAAGCTGCCACAAGTATGGAAGGCAGTCCGTGCTCTGGACAGGTGTGGCTGCGCGACAGACTGCGAGACCCTTCGGCGCAGCTGCCAGCGACACGGATTGCCATGTTCCCCTGCATGCCAAAAATGTATGGGAGATTGCTCAAACAAAGGATAAGAATATTGTATACTTTAGATAGGTATAATTTACTACCGAACCTTTAATATTTATATGTAAAATTGCTTTTCGGTGATGATAACGCAATCTCAGAGAAGGTGAGCGATGTACTTGATGATCCTTCATAGGCTTATAAATTTTTTACCCCATGTTTTAATACATCTTATGTTTTGTCAATGTGTATTTTTATTAAATAAAATATTATAAGTTTATATATTAAAACTTTGGAATATCTTGGGTTTCGCCGCGTGCGACGTCTTCAAAAAGTGCAGTAGGGCCTCTCATGCAGTTCCGATGCCAGTAGGTTATTTTTGTTATCATAAATGAATTCCCTGGCCCCAAAAACATAAGTCTAGACACCTTACACGACCCGGTGTGCCTTAGAAATATAATTCGATCAAAAGTCTGTCATTTTCTAAAAATGGCGGCTTTTCGTTGACTTCCTGTATCTGGATTACATTTCTGGCGCTACCATTGGATTCTTCGGATTAAAATCATACGAAATCGACCCCCAGATCTCGTCTCTAGGCCATATTTAGTTTTTAAAAAAAATGTTACAATAAATCACCCCCACCCTCTCTAAAATCTACCCACACGGAAAATGTCAAGTGTTCTTCGGGTCAAATCGTCTAAATGGTTCTAAGGAACAGCTGTACCAAGTAGCACCTTGGTATAACAACATGCAGTATCTTTTGGTATACCGCTAGTACCTACTATTCGCTTCGCTTCAACAGTAGGTACAGCAGTTGCAGCGTGGCCGGAATATTTGAAATTAAATCAATTTTAATGCCAGTTTCGACGCGCAGGAATTATCGGGCAAAAAAGTCAGGTGACTTTGGACATTGGTTGCTTTGCATTTTCTCTGGCGACCCCCTTGATTAGGATTAAGGAATATTTATTGGTATTATCTACCTGTAACATTCAAGCTCAAGCACGGTCTTTTGTGCTGAACGGTTTACGGAATGGGTTTAACCGGAACGTAAATATTTGGTAGAGCATAAATAAACGTGTCGGCCACACTTTTTTAATGGTTGTAAGAACATATTATGTACGCAAACAGTTTCCTTTTAAAATATTTGCTAAAGTTGTAAGTTCTTATTTAATAACGAAAATTAAATATCTATTAGCAAAGAGTAATATACTCTTTGCTATTAGTGATTTAACTGCAAAGCCAGAGTCATCTAGTATATATGAAATGTAGCATAGCGCGTTAATCTCATTGGTTGAAAACCTGAATGTTGGTATACGAGCAGAGGGCGCTCGACTATACCGCTATCATTGAATATTCATTTTTAGCGCATTTTTGAAAAAAATACGCTATTATATTCGTCATTGCTGGCAGGCCGGCTGTCCGCGTTAGATCTCCACAACTACAATAGCTAGAGACTTCAAATTTTCACTAAAAGCTTTCTGCTATAGTGTAGATGTGCAGGCACTAGTCTATTTTGAGTTAGATTACTTATGAGATCGATAATTGAAGAAAATAATTTCGATATGGGTTTCGGAGGTGCTATAATTTTACCGTTAGATAGCGCTACCAGTAGAAAAACTTATTATTTACTTTGTGATTTGTTTTACAAAATGAAGACGTACCGTCAATTGAAATTAAATAAAATTAATTATTTAACGCAGCCAAAATTACTCGTGAGATCGATAATTTTAAACTTCGCTAATAAAATACTCACCTGCATTACCAAAAATGCGCTTTAATCATGCATATGCTGATTTACAACTTGTTTTGTAACTTACGGGATAGGAATGATGTACGTAGGTAATTCTCATTATTTCATTAATAATTTGTGCGCTTTGATTATCCGTCAGATACAATTTTTTTTTAATAATTTTTTTTAAATAAATTGTTTAGTTAGAAATGTGGGTACCCTCATGCACGGGAATTTATTTTTATAAAGTCTCTCTAAACCGGATTACTTATCAACAAAATACTTTAAAGTTATTTAATATTTTCATATTGAAGAGGAAGCGCCTAAGTCGGAAAATCTGCGAGCTTAACGTAACATGGGCGGTAAATTTGGAAGGGCAAGATTCCTTTGCTGAAGCCCCTGTAAATGACTTAGGGAATAATTAACTAATTGGTAGATCGATGAAGGTAACTTTGAAGTTAGATTAGATTCACTTTAACGAGATAAAACGGAAAGGTATTTGGCAATTTTCGTGGCAGCAAAAAGTAAAAACCCCCCTCAAGTGGAAAGTTATGCAGCGCGAAGGTCGTGGTCTAAATATAGAGCAGGTTCGTCACTCTCCCATTACCAGTTATTCTTCCAATTATCGTGAAAGTATTGCATAAAAAATTCACTGGAAGGAAATATGGCCCCTCTATGATGTGCCGAATGGATTAACTGCCAATGCTTCAGGGAAATAAAAGTCTTTATATCTGTACAGTGTACAATATCACAACGCTACACACGCAATTAATAATCGACTTTGACTTGTGAAAACGCAGTTTCAGAAATTAATTAACAACCGTACAACCTGCACGGTGAATTGATTCATGTCAAGTGCATACTGCATTTGATAAAGAAAACTGAAAATTACTTTTCAACCCCGTAACATAAATCCTCAGCTTTTATCACGAAATTTATCGATATTTCCAGGGTGGGATTTTAGAGGTGAAAATTTGTTCGTTTAGGCAAATACATGTTAAAATAAAAACGGTGTTTATACGCCCTCTTTGCGACAGCACAAATAAAAACTAAATTAGTGACTTGTTTTGTTTAGACCGTTACAAATGCAGACAGTTTAGAAATGGATAGATATATCGTTTTTATTGTAATGAATTGTGTGGACTTGGCAAGCTGAATTATAATGAACAGACGGCGAAAAGGGAACATAAAAGTTGCAAGTTCCTCATCCCCAAGTTAAAGTAAGATGCTTATAAAGCTTTAAATTCCAGGACTCGAGCTGCGGTGTGTCCAACGGAATTTTGCTATAGATTCTCAGTTCGTTGTAAATCGCCGAACTTCGGCTCATTTTGGTCCAGATCTGATCTCTTAACCGAGGGTTGCTCATTGCTCACAACCAAACCGACAGTCTATTCTACACCCTTCGTTAGAAAGTAGGTAGAGCGATATGTCTTTTGCTCTTGAATAAAAGTCCATTAGCGAAATGTATTCAGAGATGCTAGCTTTTCAGAACGGTCACATTTAATTAAGATTTGTTCACTTCTCATGCATGACTTTCTTTCTTAAAAGTGTCAACTAAAACTTTATGACATTTGTGTTGAGTGGGTGACTTGTACCATGAGATACGATGGAATTTTGGTGCTTCTTGGCGTTGTTTTTGGTGTAACCGCAGCTGACAATTTAGGTAATTCTTGATTTACAAGTAATTTCTGTGTGTAATAGTTGCCTTTTGTGTTTTCGAATAGTTGGAAAGTCAATAGAGCCAGCAAATAGAGATCTAAATGAGATATTTCGCCTCTAAATGCGGTTTTAATCGTCAAAAACAAATGTACATATAAAGTGCCAATTATCCCGCTGTTAGCAAACATTTTTTGCATTTTGAGGATGTGTGGTTGCAAAACTCTTCAGTATTTACCTTGAAGTTTGACAATACAGAATTAAGAGCATGAATGCTGAAGATGTGTAAAACAATTCTCTGCCTTTTAAGCATTACTTTAGGGCAAATTCCCTGTTTACTTACACATAAGGTTTACGAACTTCTGCGTTTTCACTTAGTACACATTAATATTGACCTAATTCTCAACTGAATGAAAACCTTTAGCTAAGATATTTTAATAACGGCTAAAACGTGCCGTAAGTGGGAATAAAAAAGTGAGACCCCTTCGATAAAGGCTTACTTAGCGAAGGACGCAAACATTTGGCAAGTTAATTGGTAATTCTAGAACTTAATAGTGATGAAGTATTTTAAGATTTTACCCTCTTCCAAGCAATGAAGACCAAAATCTTAATAGGCGTTTGAAATCTTGGACTAACTTGTTACACTAGCTACTTCCATAAATTAGTTAACTTACCTCATTAATAGTTTAAAACAAAGTTTAAGGGTGTCCATTTAATATCCATTTTAACCCTAACTCCTTTACCCTATACTCGTGAGGTTCTTTGTAGGGGCTCCGAAATTTAATTGAAGTACAGTGGTTAACAAATCATATTAGAATAAAGTTTTCTCAACCCTACAAAACAAATTTCTCAATGTGCTAAATTGGGCGTGAAAATTTGGCGGCACGCATTAATATGCGTACTTTAAGTGTACGTGAAAGGTAAATAAAAAGTTGAGTGGCCCGCCTGAAAATAAAAACACCTGGCCTTAATTTGATTAGTTAATGTAGCAATAACCTGCTTTAATAAAGGGCTTTTATATGTTTCAACAAAACAAATACGTTAAGCTTGTCGCCGCAAAATTCACAATCCTTGCGATGTAGGTACTTCCAGAAATACGTTTCTGGACTGGATGATAAACTGTTGTCTATTTTTTGTTGTCATAAACCAAAGAATTCTTTCGTTTTCCGTAATCTTCTGAGATTGAAAATTTAAGTAACACATACTTAGACCGTTTTCTGGATCGACATCCATTTCAAGATGAATAAAGTATTCAAATTCTTTGAAATATTAAAAGGGACCACAAATGTTTTATTGTTTCTATAAAGTAATCGATTTCGGGTTAACCACCCATCATCAGGCTATGCTAAAAATATCACATGAATGTGAAGTTGAACGAAGAATTAAAAATTAATATTACCGTCATTTGAGTTCCTTTTAACATTTCAAAGAATCTCAACGAACCAAAAAATGGAGGACTTCATTACGTATAAAGTATTCAAACTTTAATGAGTGGAAATCAAGAAAGGGTATAAATTTGTCGAAGCATAAGGCGAAAAACTGAGAAAAATGTACACTGATGTAAGTTTTCCGATCCTGTACCTACATTCTAATAATCTTATCCAACCGGTAAAAGTAAAAAGATAGCTTTTAGCCTTAGGTATATTTTCAGATAGTATCGGACGTTTTTAAAACTTTTCGCTTATATAAAATCACCTTTAATCGTATCTAAATAAAAAAAATTCTTGTTGTCCATGCCCATGACAGAGTAAATAAAGTCCGACTGCTAAGTACCTACATTTACATTGCTGCCGCTTTTGTTTAGGGCGAAAATTCTTTTAAGCTG